CGTCGGTCCCGTTACCGTGCAGACGGTCCGTTTCACCTTGTTCTCCGCTCTCGTGTTCCACCTCCTCCTGTCCTTCCACAGCCCCCTGAGTCGTCCCTCACTGTGCTTCACGACCCGTTGTCCGACTACCTCCGTGCCTCCCGTCCTGTCGTCTCCCGTGTTTTGTCCGCGTTGGTCACTCACCCGACTGCACCTCTGTCGTCTGTCTCAGCACTTGTTACCACTGTCTCTAGCTTTGCCTCTTCCCACCGCCTTGACTACGCCGCTCACTTGGTGAGTGGCCCTGCACGTTCTCCGTCCTCTGGGGGTGCTCCTGTCTTTCCCCTGGAGGTCGTAGAGGACAGGCAGTTCGAGCTTGGTTTCCTTGCGGCCGCTGTTCCTCATCTCTGCGCCATGCTGCTTGCCCCTGAGGGGGATCCAGACGCCCTTGACATCCCGATCCCTCGCACTCACGCCGAGGCGGTCTCGGGACCCTGGGCTTCGTACTGGATAGCAGCTGAGGAGGCAGAGATGGCATCTTATAGGTCCACAGGCACTTAGGTCGACGCAGTCCCACCACCTGGGACGAATGTCGTCAGTGGCCGATGGCTCTACAAGGTGAAGCGGCCGCCTGGATCACCACCTGTGTTCAAGGCGCGCTATGTTGCGAGAGGCTTCAGTCAGCGAGAGGGGGTGGACTTCTTCCAGACCTTCGCTCCCACCCCGAAGATGAGTACTCTTCGGGTGTTGCTGCATATTGCAGCCCAGCGCGACTACGAGTTGCACTCCTTGGACTTTTCCACCGCGTTCCTTCAGGGGAGCCTGCACGAGCAGATCTGGCTGCGTCGCCCGCGTGGCTTCACTGGCTCTTTCCCACCTGGGACCCAGTGGCAGCTGCGTCGACCAGTCTACGGCCTGCGTCAGGCCCCACGTGAGTGGCACGACACACTTCGCTCGACCCTTGCAGCTCTTGACTTCTTTCCGTCGTCTGCTGACCCGTCACTGTTCGTTCGCCGTGGCTCGACCCCGTTCTTTGTCCTGGTCTACGTCGACGACCTAGTGTTCGCCACTCCCGACCGACGCGCGCTGGCCTCCGTGAAGGAGGAACTGCAGAGGAGACATACTTGCACTGACCTTGGTGAGATGCAGCACTACCTTGGCCTGCAGATCACCAGGGACAGGGCAGCTCGCACCATTACGCTGACTCAGTCGCATATGGTCGAGCAGATCCTCACGCGGTTTCGCTTCCCGTTCTCCAAGGTACAGCTCACCCCTCTTGGTGTGGATCATGGGCTCACGGCTCCACCTTCGGACGAGTCATTTGAGTCCAGTGGTCCATATCCTGAGCTGGTGGGTTGTCTCATGTACCTGATGACCTGTACTCGCCCAGACCTAGCTTACCCTCTTAGCGTCCTTGCGCGCTTTGTTGCGCCTGGGAGACACCGACCTTCCCACTGGTACGCTGCTAAGAGGGTGGCGAAGTATGTGGCGAGTACATCAGGCATGGGACTTGTCCTTGGAGGGAAGCAGCCAGTTACACTCACAGGTTACTCGGACTCGTCGTGGGCCGACGACGCGGAGACGCGTCGGTCTACACAGGGGTACTCCTTTAGCCTCGGGGCAGGTGCTGTTTCGTGGCGGTCGACTCGGGCATCGTCCGTCGCCGGTTCCAGCTGTGAGGCAGAGGTGTACGCTGCGGCCATGGCCGCTCAGGAGCTTCGCTGGCTGTCTTTCCTTCTCACCAACCTTGGTGAGCGGCCTCGCTCTCCCCCAGTCTTGTTCGCCGACAACAGGTCTGCTGTCCTGTTGTGTGAGGAGCCCCGACTGGTTGGGAAGGCGAAGCACATCCAGCTTCGTTACTTCCTTCTGCGTGAGTTGCAGCAGCGTGGACAGGCACTCGTTCGACGTGTGGTCTCTGAGGCCAACACGGCAGATATCTTCACCAAGGCGTTGCCGCCTTGTGACCACCAGCGTTTCTGCACCCAGCTTGGCCTTGTGCCTGCCCGTCCTCACTTGCTTGCTTAGAGATGCCTTGTCCTGCATGTCTTGTACTCTTGCATCTCTTTATATTTGCTATATACCTGCATGTGGACTGGCCTTGTGGCCCCTTGCTTGCTCTCGGAGTGTGTGGTGACTTTGAGCTCCACCCTGAGATTTGTCTTGTTCTTGTAGACTGGTCTTGTGACTGTTGCTTGCTCTTGTTGTTTCTACAGGACTTCCGTCACCTAGACTATGGGGGTGTGTCAACATATATTTTATATGTGTTGTTTAGGTTAGTCTAGGTGTTACATTTCTACTTACTTGCATGATTAGGGTTTGCTATATCTAGGGTTGTACTTCACATTTTCTATCAATTCATTCTTATCGTAACAGATATCTCCCAGCCACACTGCCCCCGAGCTCCCATCCCTGAAGGCCAGGTCGGCCTTCTTGTTGTCCACCGGGCTGAAGGCGGTGCACTCCTTGTGCACATCAAATCATGCATCCTACGCCATACGAATGCACTCGTCCCGTAGCTCATCGTGAGTGTTGGTCCGGCCGTGTCCTATACCGCACCGCAGCAAGTGGTTCGGCAGCCTTTTATCTAGAATGGGGAATCGTTTGCTGCAGTCACAGCAGTCAGGCACAGAGAGCGGCATGCCGAGCCGGAACTGAAGGGCGAACGTGAAGTGGCAGGGGTATAACCGTAGCGCTGGCATGTAGGGGATTGCCATGAGCCAGTCCCCTGCCCTATAGCCTGTGAGGGACATGAGGCGTTGGGTGTGGCCCAGCAGTGGGTTCAGGTCCATCTGCCTGGATGCGGTAATCTGGGCGGCACTCCGGCCCCCATGGACTAAGAGAGCAAGGCGGTGCTGTAGTTGGCCCTTGGGTTTTGCCTGCTCCGCTGAAATAAGATCCCTTGCCTCCTACGTGAGGCTGCTCCAGCAATCCTGGATCCACTGCTGTAGATCGTTCGAGCTGTGGTTTGCTGCTTCGGGTAGGTCTAGTGCTGCTGTCAGGGTGGCCCCTGCTTGGCCCCCTAACAGGCCGAGGAGTGTGTGGGCCTGCACAAAGCTCGCTAGGAAGCTATAGCAGCCCTCTACTGCAGGGTCGGCGAGGCCCAGGCCACCTAGGCTGGGTGGGAGTGAGGCTTGGTCCCAGATCCGCCTGTCCTCTGCCTCGCCCCTTGGGTGGCGCACCCCACAAGCATCTAGAAGCGTGTACAGCAGGGCCCGGCCCCACCCTGACCACTCAGCTTCGAGTAGCATGTACAGAGGTGTGGTGCGGGCTAGGTAGGAGATGCGCCTAGAGATGCACCGTGTTAGTAGCAGCGCTGCCACCTATGGGTCCATGCATGCTATGTGGGGTAGAGGGGACGACATTGTCTCCAACTGTGACCGTAGAAAGGCTGCTGCTCCTTCTGTCGAACCGATGAAGCTTCCTAGCACCCTCAGCCCCTCCGTGCGTAGTGGGACACCCTGTAGCAGCTGCTGGGAATCTGTTGCTGCTGCGCTCCATGCGGCGCACTTCTCTGGGTTGTGGGTCAGTCCCATGTCGCGGAGTCCTGTCGTGAAATGGCGGAAAGCTTCATAACTTTCTGCTGCCGGGCCCAGGAATGTGATGTCATCGGCGAATGCTAAGCACATAACTGCTGGGTAAGATGCTGCTGTTTTAGAGAGGATGGGGTGGATCCCCGCGGCAAACAGCAGCGGGCCGAGCGGATCACCTTGTCGCACGCCTGTCTTGCTGGTCAGTGCCTCGCAACCGAACCCTGCGTCAAGGAACAACTGGGCTGGCCGACTATATGATGCTTTGACGAGGGGGAGGAGACCCTGGAGATCAGTGTCGCGGAGTGCGCTGACTACTGCTGCACGGCTAATGGAGTTAAACGCATTCGCCAGGTCTGCTTGTAGTATAAGCGCATCCGGGTTTGCGCTCGTGAAAGCTCTCGCGGCGTGGATAATTGCTTCACTACCGCCTTGGACGGAAACGCAGTACTGTAACGGGAGGAAATGCGCCCGGCATTCTAGGGAGAGGGCGGAGAGGGTGGATTTTGCGGCTAAACGCAGGATACACTCTCCTACCGCTATCGGCCTAGTGCCTCTATCGGGCTTGGCTAGAGCTATGAGACGGCTGGCTGTTAGTAGCGAGCAGACCTCGTCTAGCAATTTGCCTCGCAGGATGGTGTTGACGAGGGCGTGGAGGTGAGTGGTAACCCCCGCGTTGGCGAGTGATGCATCACGCAGATGTTCAAATGTCATACCAGACGGTCCCCCTCCCTTTTTCGATCGATGCGGCTTGGACTGTATCGGGGATGTCCCAATCGATGATTCCAGGTGGAGCGGGGGGGTGTTGTGCTTTGAGCGCGGCGAGGATGGTTGCAGATGGGTCGGCGACCGGCGTTGACTCGAGGGCGAGGATCGCTCTGCGAAGGCTTCCTTTTCGCTCGAGGCCCTCTGCCCTGGCACGTTTGCCAAGGGCATCTGGCGTGTGGCAAGGCGGGTGTGGTGCAGTGATCGCAGTAATTGCCGAGTCGTACAGCTGCTGCCATTCGCCTTTGTTGAATTGGCGAAGACGGCGCTTGACTGCCGGCCAATCGGGCTTCTCCGTTGAGGGGAGGCGAAGGGTGAGTCGCGGGATGAAGAGTAACAGGCGCCAACCTGCGACTGACCCCGGGTTACGCGCGAGGTGGAGTAGTGGTGTCAGGAGGGCAGTGGCGAAAAGCGGGCGAATGTCAGCAGGGAGTTTGCGCGAAATTGGGGGCTGACGACTGTCGCGTAGGGGAGTCAGGTCCCACAATTCAACTTCGCCGAACCGCGCTGTGTCTCTGGCCAATTGCTCAGGTGAAAATTGGCGGGGCTCTGATGCGGTGGTGTCTGGTTCCTGCTGGTTTGGCTCACCCCCCGGGGTGGCTGGTCTTGGGGCGGCTTGGCGTGGTGCTGGGCGTGCCCGGCTTCTACCTTCCCATTCCTCTTCCTCTAACTCCCCCGACTCTTCCGTGGTGGACTCTTCCACCGCTTCAGCTATAAACGTAGGATCAGATGCTTCCTCCTCAGCTTCCGTTCGATCAACTCTTCGAGTTAGGGCCCAGCGTGCTTCCCTCTGGAAGCCATTCTCTGGTCCGCCTCCCCTCCCAGACGCCCTTCCTCGTCCGACACCTCGTCCGCCCCGCGATGCCTGTATCGCTAGGCGACGACTATTATCCGTATTCGCCGCGGCCCTTTGTCATGGCGTCAGCTGTAATAGCCCTTCCGACCGTATCTCCCCCGGCGCCGGCAGCTGTGGGGATGTCGCCTCTTCCCGCACCTCGATCTGCGCCGTCATCCGTAACTCAGGTCGGCCCTGTCCTCGCGCCTGCTGCGCCGCCCGTTCCCGTCGTGGCGTCGTTGTCTGCGCCTGGCGAGGCGCGTGGTCCTGCGCCTGCGTCGTCACCTACTCCCGCACTCGCCTCGGCGTCTGCTCCTGCGCCTGCCCCTGGGCCGGCTGCGGCATCAAATCCTGCGCACACTCCTACGCCTGCGCCGGTGGTTCCACCTGTCCCCGTGGGGGTGTCGGCGCCCGTGCCTGTGGTTGCGGCATCGTCTGCTGCTGTTGGAGCAGCCTCCGCGATGCCACTGGTTGCGCCTGCCATGGCGCTTTCTGCTGCTGCTGTTGTGGACCCAGCTTACCAGCCGCCTCCAGCCACCAGCGCCGGCCTGAGCTCGGCGGAGGTTCAGTCGGCTCGCGTGTCGCCTCCGGTTGCTCCTGCCCCTCTGCCTGTGGTAGCAACCGCGCTGCCTCCGACCGTCCAGGCGGGTCCTGCTCCCGCACCCTCTGCTCTTGTTCCTCCTGCTCAACGTCCTCCGTCCCCGGGCCGTCGGGAGCATCGGCCTCATTCCCCTGTGCCGCATAACGAGCAGGAGATGTCACGGCGGCGGCACGATTCCCCTCGGCGCCGAGGTTCACAGGCAAATTGGGCTGCACCCCGTGGTGGCCGAGGGGGCTGGTGGGGTGGGCGTGGTCGCAGTGGCGGCTGGGTGTATGATCAGCCGGTGAAAATGGCCGACTTGCAGCGAGTTGTGTCTAACGCGATGCGCGAGGAGCGGAACGGGCGGGCGAGCCTGAGCAATTTGCCGCGCGTCGCTCCTGCGCCGGTGTCTCTTCCTCCAGCTGCGCCCTATGCGCCTGCTCCTCCTCCTCCCTCGTCTGCCGCTCCTCCTCCTCGTGCTGCCGTTGCATCTGTTGCTGCTCCTGGGAACCGTCTGCGGTTGCCGTGGGTTCCTCCTGTGGCGGGCATGGAGTTCGTGACCGCGGGCGGAGGACCGGTGACGCCGCAGTATCCATCCCTGCTGCCCATGGCTCCTGATCCGCCAGCTGCTGATCTTCCGATACAATCGCTGGTAGGGCCGTCTCCTTCGGCGGATGTGCCTGAGGCGTCTCTCGGGCAGCTTTGGCGCCTCTCTGAGGGTCTGCGGGCTGTTCACCTGATCCAGGTGTATTGTCACGCGGCTCTTTCTCGCGGCGTGCCTCTGGTAGGCGGCCCTCTGGACGAGTGCTCGGATGCCGCTGACCGGCTTGCCGAGCTCCTTGCGCCCGTGTTGGCTGCGCCCGTGTTGGCTGCGCCCGCGCGGAGTGGAGTTGCGGGCTTTGGACAGCTTGGGACTGCGCTCCGTAGTCTGCGCCGGGTGATGCGCGCAGCGACTGCAGTCGACCTGATCGACGCAACCACGGTGGTGGTGCGCGAGCTTCATCGCTCGATGACGGGGCTCCTTGCTGTTCTTGACGCGGATCAGATGTAGTTTCCGCCGGTGCCCCCGCCATCCTTGCCGTAGGACGTAGCGTTGCCTAGGCCGTGACTGTTGTTGTCATTTCTTGTAAGCCTGATTATAGCTCTGTGTGTCTTGACACTTGCCACCCCTAGCGCGCGGCCGAAGGCCGCACTGTCGAGCTTCGGCCGCCGAAGGCGGCCGGCGCGAGCCGCTCAGTTAGGAGAGAATGAGTGCCCACAATGAATAATGAGCTCTGGAACCAGCCACTAGGGACTTTATACTAAGGGGAAAAGGGCTGAGAGGCTAAGGTAAGGGGCCTATGTGCCTCTCTCTCTCTCTCTCCTCTCTCTCTCGCTCTCTCTCTGCCGCTCGGTTAGGAGAGAATGAGTGCCCACAATGAATAATGAGCTCTGGAACCAGCCACTAGAGACTTTATACTAAGGGGACAAGGGCTGAGAGGCTAAGGGAAGGGGCCTATGTGCCTCTCTCTCTCTCTCTCTCTCTCTCTCTCTCTCTCTCTCTCTCTCTCTCTCGCTCTCTCTCTCTCTCTCTCTCTCTCTCTCTCTCTCTCTCTCTCTATCTATCTCTCTCTCAAGCGGTCCTTCATTGATAGTAAGCAAGGTACAGGCCAGGCATGTAAGAAGCACTCATCCTAGCATGTATACTAGCGAACAAGCCAACCCGCCGGCAAACAAGCAAACAAGCAGACAAGAAACGACCTATCTCCATCCTGCTAATTGGCCCGGCGAAGCCAGGGCCTACCAAATACCTGTCACCCGGGCACCACTGCCTGGGGTCCCCTTTGCCCGGGCCCCTCACACATCTAGGCCCGGCCCCCAGTCCAGATCGTCCTCCAGGACCTGCCAGAGGTCCCCTAGGCGGGGCTCCCACGGGTCTGCTAGCGCCTGGGGGAAGGCCCGTTCCGTGGCCCTATTCGACTTGGCCAGCATGGTATTGGCCTGGCTGTGCTGTAGCATTACCGACCAGTGCTGTCAGTAATGTGCAGTGAGCTTGGAGGCCACCGTGGTGAGCCTCCCCTGTCTGTACTTTTTCTTGGCCGCCTGTGTCCCGAGCATGCGTAGGAACCTCTGGGTGTCCCTGGCCAGGGCCCCATAGGTCTCCACCGCCAGGCCAAGCACGGGTTGTACCCCACATGGGCTACCCCACTATAGCCTACACACAACTAGCACAGATATGGTTTGACACACCCCCATAGGCAAAGTGAGGGAGAACAAGGGGTCACAAGACCAGTCAAGAAAAGCAAAGCAAGCTCAGGGTGGATCACAACGTCACCACACACTACGAGCACAAACAAAGGGCCACAAGGCCAGTTCACATGCAAAGGTATATATGCAACAACAACAGTACAGTGATCACTACCTAGCAAGAGTGAACATGCAGGTATATATATATATATATATATCACAGTACAACCAGAGTCTACAGCAAGTGAGGAAATGTAGGCATCAGGCCTAGAGCAGTGCAGAAGCGCTGATGATCACCAGCCGGAAGGGCCTTGGTGAACACATCAGCCGTGTTGGCCCGGGTGGGCACGTCAGCGACACGAAGCTGACCACGCTGCTGCAACTCTCGAGCAAGGAAGTAATGCAAAGCGATGTGCTTCGTTCTATGCTCCAGTCTGTGGTCCTGACACAAGGCAACGGCAGCCTTGTTGTCGACGTACAGAACTGGAGGAGAACGAGGCCTCTCTCCCAAGTCAGTCAGCACGTAGGTGAGCCAGCGTAGCTCCTGTGCAGCCATGGCTGTGGCGTAGATCTCAGCCTCACAATTGGAGCTGAGAACAGAAGACGAGCGTGTAGACTGCCGAGAAACAGAGCCAGAGCCAAGGCTGAACGTGTAACCCTGTGACGACCGCTGCGTAGCCAGGTCGTCAACCCAAGAAGCGTCTGAGTGCCCAGTGAGGACAACTGAGCTCCGCCCTCCAAGCACGAGCCCCATGCCCGATGTACTGCACAAGTAGCGCAGTACCCTCTTCGCAGCATCCATGTGCACCTTTCGGTGCCTACCAGGAGCCAAGTAGCGTGCCAAAAGGCCAAGAGGGTATGCGAGGTAAGGACAAGTGCAGGTCATCAGGTACATGAGGCCGCCCATTAGCTCTGAGTACGGGCCACTCAGCTCTACAGAATCGTCCTAAGGTGGAGCTGAGAGCGAGTGACCGGTAGCCAAAGGAGTGGATTGTGGCGAGGACCAAGTGAAGCCGAAGCGCTGAAGGACCTGCTGCACCATGTGTGACTGATTCAGTGTGATGGTGCACCGTGCTCTGTCCCGGGTGATCTGTAGGCCAAGGTAGCTGCGCAGCTCACCCAGGTCTGTGCACGTGTGTCTCTTCTATAGCTCCGACTTCACAAGGACGAGAGCCTCAGTGTCAGCAGTGGCAAAGACCAAGTCGTCGATGTACACGAGGATGTAGAACTGCGGCAACGAAGTGTCGGTGCGCAGAAACAGCGACGGGTCAGCAGACCAAGGAGCAAACCCAAGAGCCGCAAGTGTCGTCCTTAGTGTGTTGTGCCACTCGCGAGGCGTCTGACGGAGACCGTAGACTGGCCGGCGGAGGCTCCACTGGGTACCAGGAGGGAACGACCCAGTGAAGCCAGGTGGGCGGCGCAGCCAGATCTCCTCGTGCAGACTGCCCTGTAAGAACGCTATGCTGAAGTCCAGGGAGTGAAGCTCGTAGTCACGCTGAGCGGCAACGTGCAGCAGAACCTGAAGAGTGGTCATCTTCGTGGTGGGGGAGAAGGTCTGGAAGAAGTCAACTCCCTGCCACTGACTGAAGCCTCGTGCAACGTAACGCGCCTTGAAGACAGGCGGAGAAACAGGCGGCCGCTTCACCCTGAAAATCCACATGCCATCGACTACGTTCGCCCCAGAAGGGGGAACTGCGTCAACGTAAGTGCCTGTGGACTTCCAGGATGCCATTTCTGCGTCCATGGCTGTCTGCCACTGAGAGGAGTACTCACCCGCGATCGCCTCAGCGTAAGAGCGCGGGGTCGGGATGTCTGGAGCATCCGGGTCTCCCCCATGGGCAAGCAGCATGGCCACGAGATGAGGCGCAGCGGCTCCAAGACACTCAAAGTCCTCCTGCCTTTCCTCAAGGACGTCCGTGCCAAGAGCACACTCACCCCCGACGGACGGAGGACACACAGACTCAGACTGAGCAACAAGACTAGCAGCGAAGTGGAGACGACAAGCAGCAGCAAAGTCAACCAGCTCAGAGACTAAGGCAGACGCAGCAGCAGACTCAAATGACGGGTCAGTGACGACAGTAGCTAGCAGACACGTGACAGTAGGGTGAGCAGCACGAACCAGGTCAGACTCGAGGTCCTGAACGTCAGCCAGAGAAGACGCAGGAGGAGACGGTAGGGGAACACGCTGTGGAACAAAGGAAGGACAAAGTGCCATAGCGTGCGTGCCAGGGACAGGAGGCAGAAGCTCACGAGGAACACGACTACCAATGCGACGCGCGCGAACAGGCGAGGCAGGACGAGACGCATGCTCACGACGCTCTTTAAGCAAGTCTGACTGCTTATTGTAAGGAGAATGAGCAAGCAGTGGTGCGCCGGGCTGTAACGGGAGGCCAGTAGAAGACGAGAGGCTAAGAACCTGGCAAAGCACAGGATCAGGCGGTAGCAGAGATGACGGTGACGGCGGAGCGAATAACAGTCGTGGCGATGCAGTGCCACCATTACCAGTAGCTCCAGTGCCTCCAGCAGCTCCAAAACCTCCAGCCCCAGGGCCTCCAGCAGTAGCACCTCCAGCTCCAGTAACTCCAGCAGTAGCACCTCCAGCTCCAGCGCCTCCAGCAGCTCCAGAACCTCCAGCTACAGCGCCTCCAGCAGCAGCACCTCCAGCGCCTCCAGCAGCAGCACCTCCAGCTCCAGTGACTCCAGCAGCAGCACCTCCAGCTCCAGCTCCTCCAGCAGCTCCAGAACCTCCAGCTCCAGCGCCACCAGTAGCAGCACCCCCAGCCCCAGGGTCCCTAACTCCAGAGTTGATAGTACCAACTCCAGGGCCTCCAGCAGCAGCACCCCCAGAACCGGCACCTCCAGCTCCAGGGACTCCAACGCCAAGGTCGACAGCACCAGCTCCAGGGCCTCCAGCCCCAGTACCTCCAGCAGCAGCACCCCAAGAGCAGACACCTCCAGCTCCAGGAGCAGTACCAGTCCCGGCAACTCTAGTACCTCCAGTACGAGCACCTCCAGGACCAGAGACACCACCACTCCCAGCGCCTCCATGACAAGCAGCTCCAGCCAGGCGCGTCAGGGACAAAGCCAAGGAAGACACAGGGAATGGTGCGGGAGGAGAGCTTGTCCGCGGACGTATCGCGGACAAGGGCACGAGCACCCCTGACCCAGAAACGCGACGCATCGCCAACCTCCCCCGTCCAACGCAGTGTGGGCGAGGTCTCCGGCAAGGAGACACGGGGCCAAAGGTTGAGCTGCTGCACGGCGTACCGGACCACAAACGGCCACAGAAAATGGGGAGCCACCGCATGGATCAAGGAGGTACGAGCGACCTCCATGACTAAGCCAATGCGGCGCTCAGCAACCCCATTTTGCTGCGGTGAGCTCAGAAGCGTGACAGCAGGACAGCAGGGACCTCACCGTTGGTGCGCAAAGGGAAGACCGTGGTGTAACGCGAGTAGTCGTCGACAAACAGCAGAAAGTACCGCTCACCGCCCTGTCCACGAACGCGGGCTGGGCCCCACACGTCCAGGTTGAGGGTCTGCAGAGGAGCCTCTGTCGAGGGAAACGAGGAGGAGTGAGGAGCGGCGCACTGCCGCCCCTCGACGCAAGGAAGGCAGGGAGGCGCAGGCGAGGCAGGGAGGGGAGGGAGAGACCTGGGAAGACCAGACACAAGGAGGCGACGGTGCATGCCACAGAGACGTGGCAAGGAGGGGTGACCCAGGCGGTGGTGCTAGAGAAGAGTCTGGTGCGACACGGAGCGACACTCACAAGGGGAGGCTACCAGACCTGACGCAGACACCTGACCGACAACAGCTACCTGAGGAGACACAGTCGTCAGTGTGTAAAGACTCGACCCTGGCCGACGGGTGAACGTGGCCAGGTGACGGCCAGTCCTGGAGCACGTACAGGTCGCCACACGCTGTCCTCCAGGGGTAAATGTGTCAACCCAATGATCCTGGAGGACGGCGTTGCTCACCAAGTTCGTCGCGAACGAGGGGAGGTGGAGACCTGACAGTGAGTTAGACGGAACCGCTGGGTACGGAAGCACAGTGGTGGATCATGCAAGAACTGGGTCCTCTGAGGGGTCAGCCAGAGAGACTGCAACAGGTGCAGGGAGTTGTGTGAGTGCGGTACTGTCACGGAAGAAGCAGCGGGAAGCACCTGAGTCAAGCGTGAAGGTGTGCAAGGCCTCTGCAGGCGCAGTACCTGAGAGAGCAGACTCACCAGCACCTAAGGCAGCAGCCTCACTAGCACCTAGAGCAGCAACCTCTATACCGGGGTCGTACTGCACACACAGGTAACAGTCACTCTCAGCACCACCAGGCAAAGCAGACATGGCAGTAAGGATGGCGTCATAGTCTACAGCAAAGACATCAACGCCCGACCTAAGCAGCTTAAGCCAGTGGGGGGTCTCAGCCTCGTCGCCAAACTCTGCGTGCCAGGTGTCAATCAAATAGGCGAAGCAGCGGGACTGTGCGTGACCAGATGTCCCACAGGTCTGACCAGCTCGACGACCTGTGCGAATAACGTACGGACAGCGACCAGGAATCGGAGACGTCCCACGCTGGTAAAGCAGCTCACGAAGCTGCTAGGGCGTACAGGTCGGACGCCGGCGTAGCTGCATCTGGCCACCGCCAGAGACTCCACACTACACAGCTCCACAGTGACTACTACTACGGCCGCCACGACTCCCACTGTTGCCACCACCGCCGTCACCACTCCCACCGCGACCACAAAGTGAAGTCATGGCGGGCAAGCAAGGAGGGCAGTACGTAGTGAAGGCAGTAGTACGAGTAGCAGCAGCAGTAAGATGAACAGCAGAGCGGCTCGTGAGGCTAGGCTCTAGCACCTCCAGCACTCCTAGCAGCACCTCCACCAACAGCAGCAGTAGCACGAGCAGCAAGGTGGATCGGTTCGGGCAGGGCGGCTCGCCTCGGCCTGGGTGGCGCAGGCAGCAGGGCGCGCGCTGTGCAGAGCAGCAGGGCGCGCGCTGTGCAGGGCAGCAGGGCGCGACGCGCGTGCTGTAGCAGGGCGCGACACGCAGGGCAGCAGGGCGCGACGCGCGGGCTGCGGCAGAGCGCGACGCGCGGGGCAACAGCGCGCGACTCGCGGGCTGCCGTAGGGCGCGACGCGCGGGGCAGCAGGGCGCGACGCGCGGGCTGCAGTAGAGCGCGACGCGCGGGGCAGCAACCCGCGACTCGCGGGCTGCCGTAGGGCACGATGCGCGGGGCAGCAGCGCGCGACGCGTGGGCTGCCGTAGGGCGCGACGCGCAGGGCAGTAGCGCGGGCGTAGGGCAGGGCGCAGGCGCAGGGCAGGGCGCTGGCGCAGGGCAGGGCGCTGACGCAGGGCAGGGCGCCGGCACAGGGCAGGGCGCTGGCGCAGGGCAGGGCGCTGGCGCAGGGCAGGGCACTGGCGCAGGGCAAGGCGTGCGCTAGGCAGCACGCACGGGGCAAGGCAGGGCGTGCGCAGAGCAGCGCGACGCGAGGCAGGGCAGGCCGTGCGCGGGGCAGCGCGACGCAGGGTAGTGGGGTAACGCGGTAATCGCAGTCGATCGCTACCGTCGTCGCTCGGATAGAAGACAGTGTTGAATAGTAGACATGGGTTGTCTATTATCCGGGTGTCTCTTATAAACAGGCTAGCCTCATTATAAGACACATATTTCTTTGTACGAATTCAGCCAGTGTAGGGGTTAGGGGCAATTGAATAGCGAGGGGGTATCTTCTAAACGGTTCTTTGTCCATTTATGGGACTTATAAGACACCCTAAACCGTCCCAAATACAAGATAACCCAAGCATTTTGAGTAGCGTATGAGATAAGACATATATGTCTTATATCCGGGCGATGACGGTAAGTATGGTGGGCAGGGCCCTAGATATCAGACTTTGGAGTCTGATTCAGAGTCCGTTCAGACTTTTTTTTTTTACCTAGTCTGAACTCCAAGAATTTTTTTATGCACCCTGTCTGATTTTTCAGAGTTTTTTTAACTGACTTGTCTGAAATTTCAAAGAACAGTCCTACGGACCTACTGCTTTGAAACCATGTCAAGATAGCAAGCAGGAATGATTGCATTGAATGAATTGTGGGTACAAGTACTAACCCTAATATTAGGTTGTACCCCACATGGGCTACCCCACTATAGCCTACACACAACTAGCACAGATATGGCTTGACAACACACACACACACACACACATACACACATACACGCACGCACACACACACACACACACACACACACACACACACACACACACATACACACTAGAACCAAGAACCCGGATTCAAAGCTTTGCGACTTGAGGGCCCAATTTCACAAAGAAATGTCGACAGTAAGCCACTGACACTTCAACGCCTCCCAACCTTTCCCACGCTGCTCACAGTAAGGCTACCACAAATTTCGATATGTATCACATCTTTCCATTATACCGTATTACCCCGGATAGTAGCGCATATGCGCTTATAATAAAATCGGTTTTTTTGGTGGGGGCGCTTTTAATTGAGTATCGGCCATAAGCGTCGGCGCTTATATAATGACAAATACAGAAATACAACTTAAACGCATTAAAATGTACATTTCTGTCTCGTAGGTTCAATCGAGTCGACATTCAATAGCGTCCTAAATTTGAATCGCGTGAGGGCGAATCTCTGACGCTGCACATAGCTTTTCGCACGTCAATTTGCCCGCGTGCCACCTCATCCTGACTGGACGCGAAACCAGTCAGGACCTCGAAAGTCAAACAAAGTGAAAATGGGTGCTGACTCGCTTGAATTTCGAAATTCGTTACTGTTTTAATCAGGATTGAAAGAATAAAATTATACATGCGCTTATAATAAATCAGGGTTTTACAGGGGGGGCGCTTATAATCGAGGAACGGCCATAAGGGCCATGCTCCAGATATAGGCGCCGGCGCCTTTAATCGGACGGCGCCTTTATCCGGGGCCATACGGTACTACTCAGTTGGTAAATAAAGAAGCATTCAATTCAATTATGGGTGATACATACTGCTGTATGTGAATTAGGTACAACATCAGGCCCCCAGAAGTCAGAGAAATTTCTCTGATTTGCCTAAAGAACTCTGATATTCACCCTTTTTTATTTAGTGAACTCTGAAAGTTCAGCGTTTTTTTTGCTGTGAACTCTGAATATTCAGAAAAAAAATCTATGCCTTGTCTGATATTTCAGACTTTTTCTCAGAGTGCACTCTGATCCCAAGAGCGTTTTAGCGGGTACCTACTGACCTGACAGCCGCGATTAGCGCTGGAAGTACAAATTTGTCGTGTCAGTCACACTGAAACATTGACAACAGCGCTGCGGCGAGGTTATCACCCCGTTTTAGGCTGATCAATCAGCTTCACTACTGATGTGAACTTTGGTTTATCAGACTTTTATACGATTGAACTCTGAAATTTCAGATTTTTTTTTTACCAAGTCTGATTGATCAGACTAAAAATGTGTACTAAGTCTGACGAATCAGACAGCCCAAAAACGAATCTGAGGGCCTGTACAACATATTCTATACACACTGTGCAAGCCAGCAATTTCTATGTAAACGACAATTGTGCTGGCTGTTTCAGAACGCCCACTGCCAGCACTTCATGATTCCCCTCGAGACATAAAGCATGCCCTATGCCACACACACAGGTAGACAACACCTAAGTGACGAGGTAACATGAAGGATCTAGGCACCTGCATGTCTCTGGCAGAAACTCCCCAGCCGACCTAGGTGACACTGAGAATGCCCCAGTGATCCACATCCACTCAAGCTTCTTCAGTTTACCCAAGCATGCATTCAGTCCAGGCCTTTACACATCTCGGAACTTATTTCCGGGAATTTGCGGCTTGAAGCCCTGAATTCCACTCAGAATGTCGGCACTAAGCCATTTCCACTTGGACTCTTCCAAACGCCCTGAGCACCAGTGGGTACACAGGGACTGCCCCTCATCTTCCTCTGGAGACCCACACCTGGGGTACCATTTTTCCGGCTTCTCTTTGGAGCGAATGCCGTGCATCACCACGTCACCTTGGATTGGAGGGACCGTGCATTTGAAGACAGCCGGGCGGGTTACGTTGGCAGGATCCTCGAGCGCGCTGGCGGAATATTTCGCGAGGAGAATCGCCCAGTAGAGACGCCGGCCCTCCCATGTACACACGTCCCTTGCAAGCCGATTGGCCTGCTTCACAATCTGCTGCGCCTTGAGGTCATGATCCCGAGCCCACTCAATCCGCTCGAATAAATCATCGAAGTATCGGTGTGTTGGGACGAAGTGCTGGTATGGGCACAGGAGGGGGTAGAAATACTCAAAATACTCGCTCGCGTGCTTGATGATCATCTGGTTGCTTGCCAGAATCCCGCACGTGCGACAGGTCCCCGTACCACCGTCCACCTCGATCTCATACTTGAACGCTTGCAACTCCGCCGGACCGAGTCGACCCCCCATCTTAATCCCATCCTCCCGCAGCTCATCTAGAAACACTGGGTCCACTCCCTTCACAAGCCTCGCGTCGATCAGGTCTGGCCGCACGTCTGACATGCGGTGGAGGCGCATTCGCGGGCTGGGGCGCCATTGCCGGTCGTAAAACAGGTGGAAATTGGTCATGGTCCCTCGGAACACCGCACGGCTCTGCTTCTGCTCCCAAGGTACCTGATCCGCCTCGCTTCGGCGGAAGTAAGTTTCGCTCAGGTCCACCGGGTCCGGGTAGAGGATGTCGATGCTGCCGATGGAGCCGTGCGTGCTGAAAACGGGGAGGCCGGCGCGGCGGTTTGCGACAGATGAGGCTTTGCTGATGTGCGCGTCGCACGTGTTGATGAAGAATTCGGCGGTGAGGGAATGGAGGCTGTAGCGTGCGATGGCTTCTTTGATCATGAGGATCGAGAAGAGGAAGCGGCGCATCTTGAACCAGTCGAACTCGAAGCCGCCGAAACGGAAGTAGATTCTGCCTTTCACGATCCGCACGTGGCCGCAGCAAGAGAGCACCTGCGGTGCATGGTGGGAAAGAGTGGAAGGAGGAAGGGGGGGGAGAAGAAGGGGGGGGAGGGGTGGTGGCGGGATGCTCAATCAGTAACTTAGGAAACAGGGTGAGAGGAGGGTGAGAGGAGGGTGAGAGGAGGGTGAGAGGAGGGTGAGAGGAGGGTGAGAGGAGGGTGAGAGGAGGGTGAGAGGAGGGTGAGAGGAGGGTGAGAGGAGGGTGAGAGGAGGGTGAAGGTGAGAGGAGGGTGAGAGGAGGGTGAGAGGAGGGTGAGAGGAGGGTGAGAGGAGGGTGAGAGTAGGGTGAGAGGAGGGTGAGAGTAGGGTGAGAGGAGGGAGAGCACCTGTAGTGTTCGTGGTGCAGGGAAGGGAGGGGAAAGGAGGAGAGGTGGGGATGCTCAATCATCCAACATCACGCAATATTCCGCTAGGTTGGGGGGACGGGGAGCCATCACAAAGTAGTGGGTCTTGGTTTGGTCTAAATTTGGACCAAAATTGGTATTATCAACCTAACTCTTAGGATCGTAAGCACCTTAGTCGGCAATAGTCTACTTGCTATCGCCTATCGTGTTCTCCACGATCTCCCGAATCCAATGATATGCGCAGCTCTGCTTGAAGTTGTCATTACACCAGCAATTTTCAGAATCTGATTGGTATGATTTCCAAAATGAGTACAAGCAGCTTTATAGTCAGGCAAGACACAAAATGAGATTCGTAACTTCACTTGTTTCCCAAGTAACCGCGTGCGCCTCGTTTCACCCCGAGTCGCACACGCAACCGAACCGAATTCGGTGAACACTCCGCAAGTCCGAATCCCGAACTTTCTCGAACGCGCCTTGGTCTCGAAGCACATTTTTCCCCTCGTCAATCTCATTCTCGATGCTTCTCCTTCTCTCTCCCTCCTTCTAGCACATTTCTTCTCAATTTCTCTCCCGCTTCTCACGCCGTAGCCTCTATTCCCCACCGTAGGCCGATTTCCACCGTTTCACACACGCGCTTCCATTTCGTCGTCATTCCGCCGTCGTAGATGCTTTCGCCTTAGGTTCCGTGGTTGGGCGAACCAACCCTAACAATCTCCCCTGTGGTTCGTCAACCACGAACACCACTCGCACTGCTCCCCTGCTCCTTGTAGCCTTCACAGGGTCTAAGTCGGCTTCACGCTCCCCTGCAGCTCCTGCACCTTGAACCTCTGCTTACGTGTCTTGAAGTTGAGCGCCTTGACATCCAAACCTTGAGAGATTTTCTTATGCCTCTCGCTTCTCCTCAGCATCTTTACACCCAACACCTCTCGGGTCTCGTACCCTTCAACGCGTTCATCCTCCTTAAGCACTTGCCCCTTGGCAGTTGCATTCGCCTTTGATCCTTTCACCATGATGTCCCCTTTCACAGCTTCAACTCCCACACACTTCGCATTTACTGCTTTATCTTCAACCACGATCGCTGCTGCAAAAGTGTTGACACCGTCTCCATCTCCACCGTTTACTGCTGTTGCCTCCTTGATCACTATCTCCTCTTCCTGCTTCACTGCTGCCTCCACACTCGCTCCCGTATCATCCGTGTCCTCGCTCTTATCAACCTAAGTCAATAACTCCTCCAGTTCTCCCATCTCACCATACTCAGGATCCTCATAGATCTCATCCATATCATTCGTCGCGACCAAGTTCATCTCATAGAACCCGTCACTGAAGTAACCATCAGCATACTTCTCCCACTCAAGACCAAACACAGTCACCTCACCACTGTCATAGAATATCTTGCATCCCAAGTCATCAAGCTGTGACTGACTGACCAAGTTCACCTTCAAATCCGCAACCAACAACACACTCTCCAGTTTCACTACTACATACGGACTCCGCAGCACCACGTCACTGTCAGATTTATATGACATAGCTACTGTAGGCTATAGTGGGATAGCACATATGGGGTACAGTTTTCTAGGGTTTACATTTGTACCCAACTTTCTCTTAGCCAATTCATTCTCGTTCAGTTTCTCATGGTATCGAGCAGGTTCCCCTGTGGGAACTGTTCCTAGGGCCCACCACATTTTTTTTCCTGCCCGGAGCGCGCTCTCCACTGCCCGAGTCGCGCTCCCCTCTCTCGACCCTGTCGCGCCGCCTTAGCGGCCCCGTCGCGTCGCGCTTGCGGCCCCGTCGCGTCGCCCTCGCGGCCCCTTCACGTCGCGCCGCCCTAGCGGCCGCGTCGCGCCGCCCTCGCGGCCCCGATCCGCCGCCCTCGCGGCTCCTTCGTGTCGCGCCGCCCTCGCGGCCCTTTCACGCCGCCCTCGCGGCCCTTTCTAGCCGCCCTCGCGGCCCTTTCAAGCCGCCCTCGCGACCCCCCCCCTCCTAGCCGCCCTCGCGGCCCCGTCGCCTACCCCTGCGGCCCCGGCGCCGCCCTTCCCTGCCTCGGCGCCGCCTCTGCTGGCCCCGTCGCCTACCCCTGCGGCCCCGGAGCTGCCCTTCCCGGCCCCGGCGCCGCCTCACCCGGCCCCGACGCCGCTCCACCCGGCCTCGCCGCCGCGCCACCTGAGCCGCCAGAGCCGCCGGGTCGCCGAGCCGCCGAGCTGCAGTTGCTGCCGCACCGCCGTACCGCCGAGCCGGCCGAGCCGCCCGAGTCGCCGAGTCGCCGAGCCGCAGTTGCTGCCGAGCCGCCGTACCGCCGAGCCGCCCGAGCCGCCCGAGCCGCCGAGTTGCCGACCCGCCGAGCCGCCGAGCCGCCCGAGCCGCCCTGTCCGGTAAGAGCAGCGCCTTTGTCACTGCACTGCCCTTACTCTACTGTTCGCGCTGCTAGTCTACTGCTGTCATGGCTACCCCTAGTGTCCTCGCTTTTGACGCTGAGGGTCGGGCCATTGACTTTGACGTCTGGGTAGATGACCTGCAGCTTTTCCTACAGTGCGATAGGGCAGACGGTCTCTCCCTCTTTGACCTCACCTCTGGTGCCTCTCCTGCCCCTGCTGCTGATGCCGACGCCACTGTTCGCTCATAGTGGGCCACACGCGATGCTGCTGCACGTCTTGCTGTGCGTCGCCACCTGCCTACCTCTGAGCGTGCGCACTTTAGCCAGTACAAGAGTGCTCACATCTTGTACGACGCTGTAGTTGCGCGCTACTCCTCCCCTGCCACTGCTGCACTGAGCCGCCTCATGCTACCGTACCTCTTCCCTGACCTTGCTGCCTTTCCCACAGTCGCTGACCTCATTACGCACCTCCGCACTAGTGACACTCGCTACCGCGCTGCGCTTCCTGCTGAATTCTGCGCCAAGAACCCCCCCCCCATGTACATCACCCTCTACTACATAGTCACCCGGCTCCCTGACTCCCTTCGCGTAGTCAGGGACCACTTCCTCTCAGTTTGCCCCACCACTCTCACCGTTGACCTCCTCGAGAAGGCCCTCCTAGCAGCAGAGAAGAGCATAGTCGCTGTAGGAGCCTCTCGTGGTGACCCTCGCACCCCCGTCTTTGAGGGGTGTTCCCCCTCCCCCCTTTTGCCCTCTGTTGCCTCTGCTGCTGCGGCCGACCACGTTGGTTTCGAGTCGGTCGGCGCTGCGTCTGCCCCGAGCGGGAGACGCCGCACCGGCAAGGGCAAGGGGGGCAAGGGTGCTGGAGGGGTTGGCGGGGGTGGCGGAGGTGGCGGTGGAGGCAGTGGAGGGGGTGGGGGTGGTGGTGGGAGTGGTGGCGGGGGTGGAGGTGTCGGTGGCGGCAGTGGAGGCGGAGGCGGCGGCGGCGGCGGTGGCGGTGGGAGCGGAGGTGGCGGAGGTGGCGGCGGTGGAGGAGGCGGCGGCGGAGGAGGTGGAGCTGGTCGGGGTGGCGCTGCGCAGAGGGTCGGCTCCGGTGGTGGTCAGCGCCAGCAGCAGCAGCAGCAGCGGCAGCAGCGCACTCGTGACATCCCCCCCCCCTCAGCAGCTCCGTGAGTGGTACGCTGCACGCCAGCGGGGTGGGGGTACTGGTCCGTGCACCTACGTCCTACGCACCGGCGACCGCGCGGGTGAGCAGTGCGGGGGTGCGCACTCCACCCAGCGCTGCTTTGGCCGCCTGACGGACGCTTGGTGTCACCAGTTCCCTGAGGCCACTGAGATCCCCCGCTGGGGCGAGCTGTCTAGGGCGGGTGTAGCTGTCTTTGACCTTGACTTTGATGCTATCCTTGCTGCCATGTATGCTGTGACTATTAGTGATGAGGGTGACTGTTACCGGTGTTTTCCGCCCGACCCGGGCATTGCGACTGTTGCTCTAGGTACTGGTGAGGCTGCTGCTCTAGGTGCTAGCGAGGCTGCTGCTCTAGGTGCTCGTGTGTCTGCTCCCTCAGGTGCTGGTGAGTCTGCTCTCTCAGGTACTGCGTCGGCTTCGGCCTCCCACACCTTCACCCTTGACTCGGAGGCTTCTCGCTCCTTCTTTCGAGACCGCACCACACTCACGCCGCTTGGCCGGCCAGTTGCAGTCTCTCTGGCAGACCCCTCTGGGGGTCCTGTCCTTGCTCACTTCTCCACTGTCCTCCCGTGTCCGGCGGCCCTCTCTGGCACCCTGTCTGGTCTTTACCTCCCCTCGTTCTCTACGAAATTGGTGAGTGGTGCTGACCTACAGGATGCGGGGGTTCACCAGTTCACTCCTGCGAGTCAGCGGGTGACCCACTGCACGGACGCTCGGACAGGCCGACACCTGGCCACGTTTACACGTCGGCCGGGGTCGAGCTTGTACACACTGACCACTGCGTCTCCTCCAGTCACTGCGTCTGGTCAGGTAGCTGCGTCGGGTCAGGTGTTTGCTGCAGCGTCCAGGTCTGGTCCTGAGTCTGCCCCCTGTTCGTGTCGCCTCCTGTCGCACGAGACTCTCCTCTGGCACCACCGCCTTGGTCACCCCTCCCTGCTTCGTCTCCGAGGCATGGCCTCCCGTGTCCTTGTCTCTGGTCTTTCCCGGTCCCTCCCTCCCCTTCCTCCGGGGCCAGGCCCTACCTGCGTCCCTTGTGTCGAGGGGCGGCAGCGGGCTGCCCCTCACTCCTCCCAGTTTCCTCCGACAGAGGCCCCGCTGCAGACGCTTCACATGGACGTGTGGGGCCCGGCCCGCGTCCGTGGACAGGGTCACGAGCGCTACTTCCTGCTGGTGGTTGACGACTACTCGCGTTACACCACAGTCTTCCCCTTGCGCAGCAAGGGTGATGTCACTGAGGTGTTGATCGACTGGATCCGCGCAGCTCGTCTCCAGCTCAGGCAGAGTTTCGGCTCGGACTTTCCTGTTCTGCGTCTGCACTCTGACAGAGGTGGAGAGTTCTCCTCTGGCCTTCTGCGAGCCTACTATCGTGCACGAGTCATCCGCCAGACCTTCACGCTTCCGGACTCTCCACAGCAAAATGGGATTGCTGAGCGCCGCATTGGCATGGTCATGGACGTCGCCCGTACGTCCATGATGCATGCGGCTGCCCCCCATTTTCTGTGGCCGTTTGCGGTTCGGTACGCGGCGCATCAGATCAACCTTCACCCCAGGGTCTCCATGCCGGAGACCTCCCCAGCTTTGCTGTGGACGGGGAAGGTTGGCGATGCGTCTGCGTTCCGTGTCTGGGGATCTCGGGCGTTTGTCCGCGACTTGTCTGCGGACAAGCTGTCCCCTCGTGCTGCTCCTTGCGTCTTCCTTGGCTTCCCCCCTGACGCGCCAGGGTGGCAGTTCTACCACCCCACCTCTCGCCGTGTTCTGTCCTCCCAGGAGGTCACGTTTGACGAGTCGGTCCCCTACTACCGCCTCTTCCCCTACCGCACTCCGTCCCTCCCCCCGCCACCGCTCTTCCTTGTGCCAGGTCCCCCCCCGGTAGACCCCCTCCCCCCTCAGGGTCCTGCCCCTTCAGGTGTGTCCCAGGTAGACGATGTCGAGCCTGTCGAGGTTACTGGTGACTCTGGTGCTGCTGAGGGTGCTGAGCCTGGGGGTGCTGACTCTGGGGGTGCTGAGCGTGTGGGTGCTACGCCTGGGGGTGCTGAGCTTGAGGGTGCTACTCCTGGGGGTGCTGAGCCTGGGGGTGCTGAGCCTGGGGGTGCTACTACTGGGGGTGCTGAGCCTGGGGGTGCTGAGCCTGGGGGTGCTGAGCCTGGGGGTGCTACGCCTGGAGGTGCTGAGCCTGGGGGTGCGGAGCCTGAGGGAGCTGGGCCTGCTCGTGTGGCGTCTGGCGGTGCTGAGCCTGGAGGTTCTCCGGGTGCTTCGTCTCGGCGGGAGCCACTCTCTCCACAGGAGCTGCGCGAGTGGTTTGCCCGGCGCTGGAGGCGAGCTGCTGGAGCTGGAGGTTCTTCGGCTGCTGAGGGTGCTGGTGCCGCGGGTCCCGGAGGTGCTCGTACTGGGAGTACTGGAGCTGCTGGGCCTGCGGGTACGCCTGGAGCTGGAGCTGCTGAGGGTGTTGACGCTGAGGCTACTGCTGTCGGTCCTGGAGGCGGTCCTGCTGGGGGTGCTACTGGTGCTGCTGGAGGTACTGGCGCTGGAGGTGCTGCTGGCGCTGGTGCTGCCGCTGGGGGTACTGGTGTTGTCCCTGCCGTGTCTGGAGTCGCCGCGCAGCCTCGGCCGTACTTCGTTCCGCTCCTTCAGCAGGTTCTTGGTCTCCCGCCTTCTACTGGTCCTCCTCCTCCCTTAAAGTGTCCACAGCCTGTCCCGTCACAGTTACAGTTACAGCCGGCCTCCCCACTGCCCGCTCCTTCTCTCTACACTGGTCCTACTGGAGGTCTGGCTGAGCGTCGTGAGCCTGCGTCTCGCCCTGCGTCGCCTGTCCGTCCTGCTCGCTCTAGTGGTCGTGGTTCGCGTCAGCGTC